AGGAGGGAGGAGGAGGAGGAGGAGCAGGAGGAGGAGGGTAGGAGGAGGAGGAGGAGGAGGAGGAGGAGGAGGAGGAGGAGGAGGAGGAGGAGGAGGAGGAGGAGGAGGAGTAGGAGGAGGAGGAGGAGGAGGAGGAGGAGGAGGAGGGAGGAGGGAGGAGGAGAGAGGAGGTAGGAGGAGGGATCGAGACTCGGGCTGCAGCGCGCAGAGCACAGCTGGGCACGGCCGAGGCGGCGGGGCCGGCCGGCCGAGCCCGTCGTGCCTCGGCGGCGGGAGGGGCGCGGGCGGCGGCAGGCCCGGGGCGCCCCAAGGCGCACGGCCCTCTCGGCGGAGGCAGGCCGGCAGCCGGCGGCGACGGGCCCGACGGCTGCGCCCCGCGCCTCGTCCAGGGCTCTTAGGTCGGGCGCGTCAAGGATCGCCAGGAAGTAGTCAAAGAAGTACCGAGGGGCACGCACTCGAAGCATGGTCCAAGATGCAGTCAGAGCCTGTTTTTTGGTGCCCCTCCTGCAGGGGACATCTGCAAAGTGGTCCAAGCATAGTTCGGGGACGATGGTTCGATGGTGTTTCGACTCTACGTTCGAGCCTTTGTCTGACTGTGTTGCACTGCTTCGTCCAGCATCCGCCTGCAGGGGGGCACGCCCGACCCAACCGAAGCTGCCTCCTGCAGCGCCGCGCGTACGGACGGAGGCCGCGCGGGGCGCAGAGCCTCAGGAGGGGAAAAAACACAGACACAACTCATCGCCGATCCCCTGGAAGATATGGGAAAACTATGGGAAGTGGGGGGGAAGACAAAAGCCAGAACATATGGGACAAATATGGGGAATCCTCTTATTGGGGTGTATGTATTGCGAGGGCCTCACGGCCGGTGCCGCCGCCCCTGAAGACGACGAAGATGAAAACGAGGATGAGGAGGAGGAGGAGGAGGAGAAGGAGGAGGAGGAGGAGCAGGAGGAGGAGGAGGAGGAGGAGGAGGTAGAGGAGGAGCAAGAGGATGGGAGCAACGGGGGGGAGGAGGAGGAGGAGAGGAGGAGGAGGAGGAGGAGGAGGAGGAGGAGGAGGAGGAGGAGGAGGAGGAATCCTCTTGTTCGTGTGTATTTGTTTGTGCGTCCCAGGGCCCCTTCAGGGCCGACGCCCGCGGCCTCGCCGCAGGCGAGCAGCGCCGCCGCCGAGGCACGACGAAGCACAGCTCCGCGGCGGCAGCGGCGAGGCGCGGCCTCCGCAGAGCCGCAGCGGTGCGCCCCACCTGCGGGGGGCAGCGGCGAGCACGGCTTTCGGAGGAGGGCGAGGAAGACGACGCGCCGTCAGCCGCTAGGGGTCGGGTCGGGCCTGTCCCCTTACTGAACGCCGCACGCCGATCATCAATCTTTGTTGTAAGCATGAGCCTGTCCGGCATGGCGGCGCTCTTCATGCTGCCAGTCGGCGCATGGGCCATTCAGCTTTGAGCACAGGTCAACTCGACCACCGAGAGCGGGCTAGCGTTGTCGAATGGCGGCGTGCTGTCTATGAAGAAGCCTCAGAATGGAAGATGGTTTCAGTGCTACTGCGGCGATCGGTGGCGCGCGGGTTGCCCAGAGTTTGAGCACAATCATGATGTCAAAGTTTGCGAAGGGGAGAGGTTCCAGATTTTCAATTCCGCAAATTCTGGAGACATTATCAATGGGCAGACAGTCTGACAGTCTGACTGAATCAACTCAGGTTCGGCGCATTGGTGCAGTGCACCGGCAGCGAGAACTGCCCTGCAACTGCTGTTTACCCTGCCGACCCAGCCTAGCGTGCCGTGACGGAGGATATTGGTTGCACTGGTATTAGATTCCGAAGAGTCGATTCCGCAAACCTTGGAGTCATTCTGACTGAGCAGTCAATTTGCCTGAAGCATGTCCACAGAGACATGTGGTTGGATTGCACCCTGTATTACTGCAAGGCCATGTCGACATGCCCTGATATTTACGCACTTTCCGACACTTCCCCTTGCACCAGTGTGAGACTGCTACCCCACGTCGGCACTCCGGCTCCGACACCAGCTCCGTCGCCGGCGCCAGCTCCGACACCACTTCCGACGCAACCTCTGACACCAGAACCAGCGCCAGCTCCGACACCATCAGCGGCAGCGCCACCTCCAGCGGGCGGCGCAGGCGCCGGGGCTCGGGCCGCGGGCGACCCCCATCTGCAGAAGATCCATGGCGAGCGGTTCGACCTGATGAGGGCGGGCGAGCATGTTCTGAGAAGCATCCCTCGTGGGGCGGCTGCTGACAGCGTCCTGCTTCGCGCGCAGGCCGATGCGCGCAAGTTGGGCGGACAATGCACGGACATGTACTGCCAAAAGCTCAACGTTACCAGATCTTGGGCAGAGGCCAAGAAACCGGAGAGTACCATGGCAGCGTATCGCAACATGACGTCAAGATGCCGGAATGGGTTGCCTTCGGCGAGGTCGAGTTTCAAGTCGTTAATGTACGGACGGTGGTTTGCTTTACTTGAGTTTGTACGTGAAGCATTTGGGCCGAGCGGGATTCTCAGTCGGAGGTCTTCTGGGCGAAGACGATCACGAGGACGTGAGCACCGCTCCTGATGCCTGCGCTCAGCGTGCAGCCCTCAGAGCAGGAGCGCACCGCAACGGAGGCCCAGAGGTGCCTTCAGTCGCAGCAGCAAGCTTCGACTGAGGGAGCTCCCGTCCGCCAAAGCGATTCCGCCAGGTGCCTATGCCAAGCGTTTGCTTTGCGGCATCAGTCGCCGCGTCAAGCTTGGCTCCTCAAGTCCTCCTCCTGCTCGCACCGCTTCCCTCCCATCTTTTCTATCTCCCCTTGGGGCCGCGCGCGGTCTGGCAGAGCGAACTGCCCGCCGTGCGTGGGAGATGCTACAGCAGTCTCGCAGCCCGCATGTCTGTCCTGCGCGCGGCAGCCGTTGATTCGTGTGCCCGCCTTGATCTGAAAAAAAACGGGTTCGGACACACGTTGGAGGCCCAACATCAAGCACATGCTTTTCGAATAATACCGCGCAGCACGCCAGGACCTCCTCCTGCTTTTTCTGCGTTTCCCCGTCCAATGTCGACATATCGTTGTTGACAAGACCGCAGCCATTGAGATTCGAGGGTTGGCCCAGCCTTGTTCCGGCGCAACACTCATACATACACACTGACTTCATATTTGCCATATGCCTTGCACCTTTGGCATGCCAGCGTTATTGTTATTTTGTTTACTGCCACCCATTGCTCATGTGCGCACTGCTAAAAGCGAGCATGCCGATGATGCCACTTCGGTGCCGTTCTCTTTGGCAGATGTACCGCACGTTGGAGAGTGCGGGAATGTTCTTGAATCGCTAGATCCACATTCCGATCTGAACATGTGCAAGGGAGTTGACGGGGAGTGCCCATCCGAATGCAAGGCTGCACTCCAGAATGCAAAATCGTGCGTTGGGAAACCCGTGCAAGTAGGCTCAGAGAGCCGCAAGTTTGACATAACAATATTCTTGCCTCTTTTGACCCAAAGCTATTCTTCCCGCGGAGCAGATCGCAGCCACACCCTGTGGAATTGCATCCGAGACTCTGGTGGACTTGAGCTAGAAGACTTGTTCTTGCCATCGAATGGGGCTCGGGCAGACTGTGATGACGCAGTAGAAGCCTTCAGGCTTTCCCGCCTTTCTGCATGTGATAGCGATGAGAATCGCATCGGGTGTGGGCGATTATGTTCTCGCATCCTGGGTGCTGTTCGAAGTCGTTGCAACAGCACCGCAACGTTCAGAGATCGAGACGGGAACGAGAAGTCAATTGCCGACCCATTCGTGCAAAGCTATTTGCTTGACGTGACCCCTCGGCAGTGTCAATGCGCTTTACGTCGAGGCCTCTTTGGAGAATCGCGGGCTTGCACAGAGCCCGAGCTTGACAACGATGCCGGGTTGGCTGTGTATGCATCTGCTGGTTATCCAGCTGCCTGCGGCAATTCCCGCCACTGTGCCAGCTCAGCACTTTGGGTGGCGACTGTTCTAGCAGTGCACAGGAAGCCGTAACGTGTGTCATTTCGTGTCCCGAGACTGGGGGAAGCCGTAACATGCGGCACGCTCTTCCGCTTCGTGTTTGGGTGTCTCTCCTTGTCTTTGCCGTCGGTTTCTTCCCTTCCTCTTCTTCCCTCCGCTCTTAGGTCCTCTTTGTGCTTCTTGGGGGCGTCTCGGAGGCATCTTGTCTTGGGAGTCTCGCGGGGCCTTTGGGTGGCTCCTTGGGCCGTCTTAAGGCGCTTTTGGGCAAGCAGGCGCCTCCAGAGTCCGTCTTGGGGACATCTCGGGGCCGAGAAGGGTCTTTGGGGGTCTCTTTGGCTGTTTTGGGGTCTCCTTGAGCCGTCGTGGAGGCCTTGTTGGCAATCTTGAGGGCCGCTGGGGCTGTCTTGAGGGCTCTTGGGGGTCTCTTGGGTGGCTTTGGGGCCATCTTTGAGGCCTCTTCTACCGTCTTGTGCTGACAGAGGCCCGAACAAGCGAGAACGCAGCACTCACTGCTCTTCAGAAGCGCAAGGCTAATATGTGATTGCCCTCCTTGGGGTCTTCTTGAAGCCCTCTCGAGCCGTATTGGGTGCCTCTTCGGGGTGTCTTGAGGCCATCTTCGGACGTCTTGGGGCCGTCGTGGGCCGTTCTGGAAGCATCTCGGGTCCTCTTGGCGGCCCTGGTGGTCTTCTGCGGCCGTCCTGGCAGCGTGTTGAGAGCCCTGGAGAGCGCCGGGGCGGCGTCCGAGGCCCAGAGGAGCCTCGGGAGAGAGGGGCGGGGCACGCAGGGAAGCGCTGGGAGTGAGGGGGGCCCCCAAAAGCAAGCCCCATCCAGGCAATGCAGCACGTGGCCTCCTTCGGCCACGCGCAGAGGGGGGCATGGGGGAGGGGGGAAGGCTTCTTAGAAGCAGCCCCCCTGCTTCTTAGCAGCACGTGGCCCTCTTCGGCCACGCGCAGAGGGGGGCATGGGGGAGGGGGGAAGGCTTCTTAGAAGCACCCCCCCAGCTTCTTAGAAGGCGCGGGCCTTCTCTATACATGTGAGGCCGGCGCCTTCTGAGAAGCAGCCCCCTTCTGAGAAGCCTTCCCCCCTACAGTGCCGTTTTTAATACATGCTCCGCGTGCGGATCATGTATTACAAATATAGGGATTTAGTATGAAAAACAACGATGAGTCCATGCATACATTCATTCATAGATTAATCATGCATTAAGAATCCTAGATTTTACAAAAGATCCCATGTATTAAACACTGCCCTGTACCCCTGCACCCTGCCCCCCTCCTGCGCGCCGCGAACTTCTGCCACGCCCCGGCGTGCCAGGGGCTCAGCTGCGCTGCGACGCCCGCGCTGAGGCGCAGCACGTGCCGTGTGCAGGGCGTCCGTGCTGACACGCCGTGGCTTGGCTCTCCACGTGTCGGCCGACGTGTTGGCAGAGGTACCGCAACAGACCTGCGCGCCGGTCGTCAAAAGTAGGGTTGAGTCGGGCCTGTCCCCCTACAGGGTATTTTCGACGAACAATGAAACATACCCCCAAAATGTTCAAAACATACTCCTAAAATGATCTGGGGATTATTTTTTTAGTATTTTTGTCTTTTTTGGAGCATTTCTGGGGTATTTTTTATTTTTCGTCGAAAATCCCCCTGTAGGGGGACAGGCCCGACTTAAAAGTAGGTGTTTCTGGATATCCTTGGTCCCAATCCACTTCGGGCGTTCCTACTTCGAGAATCGGCACGGTGTTGATGTGTTTTGTTATTAATCGCTTCGCTCATTCCGCCGGCCCTCGAGCGCTCTATGGGGCCTCTTTGAAGCCTCTTGGAGGCTTCTTTGGGGCCTCCTAGGGGCCTCTTGGGGGCCTCTTGGGGGTCTCTTGGGGCTCTTTCGCGGCGTCTTGGAGCCCCCTTGGGCCTCTTGGGGGGCGCGGCACGGTGTGGATGTGCTTTGTTATTCTCCCGCAGGGCCTGGACCCAATCTATGCCAGCCGCCCTCCTGCTTCCTGCCTTTGCCCACTCCTGCCGACCGACGTGCACGTGCCGAGCCCCGTGTCCACACGCCGAGGGTTTCGGTTTCGTGTTGCGCGTCGGGGCAGCTAGTTATAGGGCCAGGGTGTCGTGGTGGCGGACATGGCCGTGCTGCTGCTCGCAGGCTTCTTCGCACGCTGCACTGTGCGGCCTCTGCGCCAGCTGCACCTGCCGGCCAGCCTCGTCGGGGGACTCCTGGGCCTCGCCGTGAAGGAGGCGCTGTCTCGCGCGAGTCCCCAGGCCGGCCGCTGGCTGGTCCAGAACTGGATGCTCGGCTGGGAGGATCGGCGGCGCGCGCGGGGGGCAGCGAGGACGGGGAGGCCTTCCCAGGAGGCGGCGGGACTTCTCGGAAGCCTTCGCGCCTTCTGATGAGTTTTCGACGTGTGCGGGGAAGGCCTGGGGAACTCTAAAACGACGCGAAGATCGGGACAAAATCGGATCGGGATAGCTCGAAATCTCTGAGAATCGGCGGGTTTGGAGGGCGTATTGGGCGCCGCGGCCGCTCCAGAGCGTTCCGGAACGCTCTGAGAGCGCTCCGGAACGCTCTGAGAGCGATTTTTCCCGATCCTCGCCCTGTTTGAGGCCTTCCCAGGAGGCGGCGGGACTTCTCGGAAGCCTCGTCGTCGTCGTCGTCGTCGTCGTCGTCGTCGGCGTCGGCGTCGGCGTCGGCGTCGTCGTCGTCATATGTTTCGTCGTCGTCGTCATGGCCTTCGGATGAGGTTTGCGACGTGCGCGGGGGAGGCCCGGGGAACTCCTCGCGGAAGGCCCGAGGCCTCCGGAGCCTTCTGAGGGGGCCCGCCCCCCTCGGCGGGGAGGAGGCGACGGCGGAGTCCGAGCCCCACCCTGGCCCGTGGAGGATTCGGGCAGCTCGACGGGCGGCGGGGGGCAGGGTTCGGAGTTCGTCGAGCTCGTGGCGAAGTCCGGACCCCACCCCGGCCTCCCATCGGTCCAGGAGAATGGATGACTGGTGGATTCCCTTCGGGGATCGTCCGTTAAAATTGGAACGATGCAGAGAAGATTAGCATGGCCCCTGCGCAAGGATGACACGCACAAATCGAGAAGTGTATACATTTTTTTCAAAAAAAAAGAGGATAATCGATGACTGGTGGGGGCAAGGGTTCGGACGTCGCCACCTCAGGAGGTGGCGGGCTTCCTCATCAACGTGATCTTTGCGGCCATATTCCTTGGCCTCGAGATGCCCTCGCGCCGCGAGGTCTGGGAGGAGGGGGGGCCCCAGCTCTGCTTCGGGGAGCTGCTGAACATGGGCCAGTACGTTGTGGGCCTCAGCGTCAGCATGCTGCTCTCGGCCGTCTTCCCGGTGCCGAAGTTCTTCGGTTTCAACTTGCCAATGGCATTCGTCGGGGGGCATTCCAACTGCTTCGCCGTTAAAGACGCTTACGTTGAGCTGGGATGGGATGCTGGGAAGGATGCGTGTCTCCTGGCAGCAACCTCAGGTTTAGTCGGTGGCGTAGTCTTCGGAGTCCTGGCCGTGAACTTTGCGCGATGGTCGGGCAGGCTTTCGCCTGTTGGGGTTGCCATAGATCACAACGACGACGACGAGGACAGCGACCAAGCAGCTCAGGCATGGTCCGAAGTTGGAGTGGTTCCAGTGGGCAAGAGAGAGAGTGCTGGATCCCTTGTCACAGACTCAGAAGGGCTTGAGTCGATGGCCTTGCAGGCTGCCATCGTATTCGCTTGCATCTTCCTTGCCTATATCATCAAGCGCCTCCTCCTGTTATCCGAAGAGGTGGTTCCGCTTTTGAACGAGACCAAACCGTTCTCATACTTTCCATTCTTCTCTCTGGCAATTCTTGCTGGCATGGTACTCAACAGCATGTTCAAGTTCCTTGGCCTTGGCTTGCTCATTGACCGCCCGTCCATCGAACGCATTTCGGGTTTATCCTTGGAGTTACTCGTGCTCTGCGCCATCGCAAACACAGATGTATCAGGCGTACTCGAGGGATTGGTTCCACTTCTTGTACTGATCGCCGCAGGCTTCACTTTTACCGCAGGCATGCTCTTCTTTGTAGCACCACACTTTTTCACAGACTATTCCTATCAGCGGGGCTTCTTCGAGTTTGGATGCTGTTGTGGCACAACTCCTATTGGACTGCTCCTTTTAAACATGGTCGACCCTGATCCACCACTAAAGGTCAAGCGAGCCATTAGTATCAGACTCATGATCGACTGCCCAATCATCGGCATATATCTGGCAGCTGCAATAGTAATGCTGACATCTGGACCCCATGGCACAATTCTTCTGCTAGTCGTTTCATGCTGTAAATTGTTTTTCTGGCTGGCTCTTTGGTACATCTGCTTCCGGCCACGGCAAGCCAGAACAGCACAGTCTGGTCGAGTCGAGATGGCCGCAATGTGTTCTTAGAGCTCGATTGCACCGCAAGTTGCAACAGCGATCGTTGGGCCCGGTCCGCAGCGATCTGCAGCACAGATGCTTGATACATTGGCCTTCCATGCTACGCGTTGCCATCGCGCTGCTGAACAAGTCGCAGCGTTTTCGTCCGTTCGCAGTGTGCGGGCCAGCGCCCTTCTGCGCCGTTGCGCAGGATTTTCCGTTTGCCACGACCACGAAGAGAAAATACCATCGGGGTGTCATGGCCTTCTGTGGGTTCTGGAAGTAGCAGGGGAATGTTGCGCGAGGCTGCTTGAATGCATCTTTCTCTTCTTCCTCCATTCTTCCCACCATCCTCCTTCTCTCCCATTGTTTGGTGCCAGGCAGAGAGGGGCGTGGTCGGGTGGGCACTCTTCTGAGACGGCCTCTCAGAGCGGCGTTCAGCACAATCTCTCCTCCCCTCCTCCTTCTCGTCCTCCTTGTCTTTGTCACTGGGCGGAGGACGGGTGTTAAAGGGGTTAGGATGGGGGGATGGAAGGCGGAGGAGGAGGAGGCGAGGGAGGGGAGATTCGGGGAGGAGGGGAGGGGAAGGAGGAAGAGGAGGAGGAGGCGGAGGACGAGAGGTGAAGCAGAAAAAGGAGGAGGAGGAAGACTTCCCCAGAGCTCTCCAGACTACTCCTTCCATAACCCGCCAGAGCGCCACCCAAAATGGTTGAACAACCTCTTTCATCGCCCCATTACTCTACCACTACTTCTACATGCTTGCTCCTTCACCTCCTCTTTCTCCCTCTTGCTTTCTCTTCTCGGCGACCCGATTGGGGATCGCCCTCCTCTCCGCCCCTCCCCTCCTCTGTTCTTTACTCTCCCTCTCCCCCTCGGCCGATATGTCACTGGCTTGAAGTGACCTGGCACCCAGGGCCCAGTTGGTGCTAACTGTGTCGGGTTATTCGTTCGAGCAGCCAGCTGAAGGATGGCGAAGGGCCTTGACGGGTATTAAGTGAGTACCTTACCTGCTTGCATCTTAGCCTGTATTTTCAGTATCTTCCCACGTTTCTTTGCCCTCCTCTGTTGTCCATGGTGTTTTGTACACCGAGCGGCTGCTGGAGCGTAGTAGGCCACATCGCGGCGGTTCAAGCTTAATCCACGTCCAAGCCCTCCGTTGACCCTCATTCCTTCCCACTTGTCGTTGTCCTCCTCCTCCTCCTCCTCCTCATCCTCGTTGTCCTCATCCTGCTCCTTCAGCTCTGCCAGGCATTCAGGTGGTGAGGGGGGGGAACTTCATCCATGCAGCGGATCTGGCGAATGGCATAGGCTCACCAGTCTGCGGGCTCGTTACTCTTTCCACCTTGGTTCTTGATTCTGGCCCCCCCCATTCGTCCAGCCTAGCCTGTTCTCAGATCGGCCGCGAGCGAGGGGGGGGAAGTGAGAAGGAGACGGCCTTTTCAGAAGGTTCGGAAGTCCGCTGGCCTCCAGAGAAGTTCCCTAAGCTTTCCCAGAGACAAGAGCAACTTATCAGAAGTCGCGACGGCTTCTGCGAAATCCCGCCGCCTTCTGAGAAGGCTTTCTCCTTCTCATTCCCCCCCTCGCTCGCCACCGATCCGAGGTGCCACCAATGGGAACCCCATCCGGATTCAAGCTGATGGTTTCTTAGCCGCTCCTCCTCCACTGCTGATGCTCCTCCACCTGCTCCGTCTACAGTCAACGCGCATAGTAAGGACGCGCGCCTTTTCTAGGGGGTACCCCTGTGTCCTTGCTTCTGCGGCCCGTCCTTTGCCGTTTCCATTGGGGTTTTGGTCGCCCGCCACCCAACAAATCCCGATTTCGGCCTCCAAGGGTCTTGCGTCCTTACCGCCCGTCCTTACTATACGTTTTCACTGTACTCCTCTCCCGCCTCCTTCCTTCCGCCCCCCCCCCGCAGTGGGGACGACGTCCGCTACCATCTGCCTCTGGTGGCCTCCACTGGTCCAGGAGAGTGCCCTGGAGATTGCCAGACTGAGAGACTCCGCACCCAGCAGGGGCCCCAAAATCCAGAGGCCTTGATCTTCGGTCCCCTTGTTCCTCTTCCTCCTCCGTGCCTCCTGCTCCTGCTCCTCCTCCTCCTCCTCCTCCTCCTCCTCCTCCTCCTCCTGCTCCTCCTCCTCCCCCTCTTCTTCCTCCGTAGCCGTCTTGGCTCAACATGCATGTTTCCTGAGAAACCAAGTGGATACCGGTAGTCCGCGAACAGGGCTCGCTTGTTTCGGTGAGCTCCTGCAGGGGGGCAGTTGTCGCAGCATGGCGGTCGGAGCCGGGGCTCCCAGCTGACGTTGCGGGAAGCGCCGCTAGAAGAACCTCGGTTGGCGCCTTCAGTGTCGCCAGGCAGACTGTTGAGGATATTGAGCCGACGGGCGGGTCCCGAAGGGCAGCGATAACGCAGTCACGCAGTCAAGGCTGGTGGCGCGTGCGCTCATGGCCCTGCTGCTGCTTGCCGTCCTCCTCGTGGCGGCCAGGGAAGTGCTGGTACCCAGGCAGGTGGCAAGCCTCTTTGGGCTGGCGCAGGAGGGCCCGAGCTGGTGCCCCTCACCGAAGCTGCTCGTGCGATGTTTACGCAAATGTCGGACACCCAGTTCAACGAGCTGTCGGTGTCGATCGCGCTGGCCGACAAGCAGAGCCTCGTCCGTGCTCGCTTCCCTTCGCGCCAGCAGCTGGGCATGGTCAGCCCCATCAGTGCTGTCAAGTCGGCGCAGATCGCTGCGGATGAGGCGGGTCGGCGGCTCGACTAAGCCAAAAATGACTACGAGAGGATGCAGAAAAAGTTGCTCAGGAGGTGCTCCTGACCGCTTACCAGCAGGCGAAGCTCCAAGAAGATCTCGACGCAGCCGTGGAGAAGGCGTGGAGGCGGGTGGCCAGGGCGAGGTTGCGGTGGTACTTCCTCGTGCAAGCCCGCTAGTCGCGTACGTCTGCCTGGCGAGGACAGTCACCGACAAGTGCAAGGGCGCCAGCCTTGACGAGCTGGCGGAGCCGCTGAAGCAGCTAGTCACGGCGCTCACCATGGACGCGGCGGCGGCGGTTGAGGCCAGGAAACGACCGGTGGCTCTTGTGGCCGCGGCGGCTTCTAGCGAAGGTGGTGCGCCTGCATCGGGAGCTGTCGCAGACGCAGAGGAGGCTGCCCCTGACATCTCCATGGAGGCCATTCTCTCGCTGGGCAGTCGAGGGGAGGCCGTCGCCAGCTTCAGCGGCGAGGGACAGTATATGCGCAAGTGGCTGGAGCAGTTCAATGAGCACTGCAAAGAGGCGGACCGACAGAAGGCGCGTTTGGGGTAACCTTCGAATGGGAGCTTGGCACACTGAACTTCAAAACCTGCTCGAACTTGGACAAGTCTATGGGGTCCGACTTGTCGGGTTGCGACGCCGCTTTGTTCCAGGCCCCCCCCCCATGAGCGCACCACCAGCGTGGAAGCGGAGTTGCGACGTCCGTCGTGGCTAGCGTGCTTGTGGTGCCGAGGCAGTGCCGTCGCACGCTGGGGTCTTGCGTCTGGCGGGCTACTGGCGCATGCACGCGAGCATCGCGGACTGGCCGCGATGCTTCGGCAAGGGCGCGCTCAGGTTCATCATCATGCTGGGGTGGCCCGTGGAGCAGTCGTGGTTGGGGATGTGTATCTGGAATGTGGAGTCGGAGTTCTTTCGTTCATTTAGTCTGCTCTGCGTGAGCTGGCGGGGCGCCTGCCTGGCTATTTTCGGCTGCCATGCGTGATCGACGGGGGCTTCGACGTTGCCACTGCCGAGCCGAAGCAGGGCGAGGTGCTGCGCTACTTCGACGCGGTCGCCGTCAGCATGTTAGAGGCTACGCGTGAGCGGTCTCAGCGCTCCATCAACATGTTTACGGTGCCCATTGGGTGCGTGTGGTGGGGGTGCAAGTGGCGGCTGCCTCCCGAGTGCACCCGCGTCGGCCTATGGTGCTGACGGCGCAGGCTGACAAGGAGCGGCTGGATCCGCATCATGGACGGTCGATCTTCGGCTCTTTCCGGTCGAGCGACCTGCTTGCTTTCCGGTCGAGCGATCGCGCCGAGAGCTGGGGGCGCGTCCCTCCGCTGACGGCGACGGCCGCGAGGCTCTCCGTATTGGAGGAAGTCCGTCCCCGAGGCCTCGGAGTTTGCCCGCTGCGTCGGGGGCGCGGCAGTCGCAGCGCGGCGGCGACGTGGCAGTCTACAAACGCCCTGCTAGTCCCGAAAGAGGCCACCTGCAGGGCGCCCAGCTTGGGCCACCCACGGCGCGCTGCCGCGGGGCGTCCGCCCAGATGTCCCTGGAAGTCTCCCCGGCAGCATCTACAGCGAGGTCCCGGAAGGCCGCCGCTGGAAGTGCTTCGAGCAGCTTGCGCGGTCAGCTCACGCTCGCGCCGCAGCGATTCTTGGCAAGGCCGAGGAGAAGTGGGCGGACGTCCGCCGCGGCGATTACAAGGCCGAGCACGCTGGCCGTGGGCGCGCTTTTCAGCCTCGCCGGTTTCAACAGGTACTTGTTCGCGCTGCTCGATCGCCGCGCGCCCCCGTCGATCGAGGCGGCCTGGCTCTTCCGCATCGCTGCGGGCGCCAAGGACATCGCCGACGTCGGCCAGGTCCAGAGGCGCATCGCTGGGATTGCAGGCCTGCGCGGTCTGCTGGGGAAGGCGCCTAAGTTCGCGAAGGAGTTGCTTTGCGGAGGGTCTGATCCCGCGGACACCTTTGCGAGCCGATGGTGGCTGCTCCATGGCAATTCACGCGCGGGGTAAGTCGATCCCGCGCAGCTCGCCACCCTGGGGCAGAACTGCCGCGACGGCTCCCTGAAGCTCGCGAAGCGGGACGCGGCTGCGCGTGAGACGCGCTTCAGAGAGCGGATTGGGCAGCAGGCTGCCAGCGGCGGCGGGGGCGGCCACGCGCGCTGTCCCTGGCGTGGCCGGGCGGCGCCGGCGACGCCGTCGCCGCGGCCGCGGGCGCCTGCGGTGGCGAGGTTATTTTCGAGCCCGCGGACTTCGGCCTGGAAGCGCCGGAGCAGGCGATAGAACCGTTGGAGTGGCGGCGCAT